GTTGTAATCAAAATTTAGTTAAATGTAATCAAGATTTCAAGTAATTGATTTCTGTAATCAATTATTGTAATCAAGCTTACTGCTGTAATCAAAATCTTTAAAAATTGTAATCACCGTTACGAGTATGTGATTACTGTAATTGACTATTGTAATCACGAATACTGGTTGTAATCAAAGTTGTAATCACGAGTACTGCTTGTAATCAAAGCTGTAATCACGATTACAAGTAATTGATTACTGTAACTGTTGTAATCACGATTACAAGTAATTGATTACTGTAACTGTTGTAATCATGTTTACAAGTAATTGATTACTGTAGTCGAAAAATTCAATCGATAGCATTTTTGCCCAACTCTGGTAAGAACGACTCATCAGTGAATGGTACATTCTTGTAGTTGTCGAACGCTGGTTGCTTTTCAATATTTTAAAAGTGGATGGGGGGATTTCTCCCCTTCTATTCCCACCCCCTCCACTTGTCAAAAAACGTGACTGAAGAGTGTGTTTATAATAGATGTAATCCTGACTCTTGAAGAACGACATCTTTCCTTTTTGTCTTGTCAGTTTATTACCGGAAAAAAGGAACTATTCACTCACTTGCTTTCTGTAGGGAAAGGGACATTTCGTTTTTAATTAGTCGACTGTGATTTTTCTAGATTTATTGTAAGAGGATTTCTTCCCTTTTCAAGTTGCTTGTTTCATGCTTTGAGAATTTTAAATAAAGAAAATATGTTCCAGCAGCTCCATGCAGAATAATGATAATAAAAAAGTAAAAAAAACAATATGCACAAAGATTTGAGGATAGCAAAAAAAAATTACTAAATCATATTCCTGTTTTTTGAGGAATTTTGTTAAGATGACTTTCCAGTTCTGCGCTTAAAACTTTCACGATTTAAAATAATTTTATAAAATTTAAGGTCAATCAGATCATCAAACGAGTAATATAAAAAAAAAATTAGATCAATTCTTTCTTAGGTCAAAGAAAAATTTTATAAATTTGCTTTTTATTAAATGATTAAAATTTTTTTTATCCTTTATAAAACTAAAATTAATTCATTAAATTTAATGAATGAATTAATATTTGAAAAAAAACTGTATTAACATCATGTGTTATCCACTAAGAGTTTAAAATAGGTAGTAGGAATAGAAAAAAATAGGAATAATAGGAATAGTAGGAATTGAAAAAAAAGTAAGTAAATTCTCTCCAAATAAATGTTGAGATAAAAATATTTAAATCATTTTATACAATTATTTTTCATCGTGTATCATCAGCCTTTGTTGAAAACGATCGTTATATTTTTGAACAAAAAACCTTTTTTTTTTTCAAAAATATAAAAGAGATATTTTTTTGAAAAGGTTTCCATTCGATTTCCCAAGACGTTCTAAAAACTATCAAACGCTTTTTCTTAACGAAGTATGTCTTCTCAACAACTTTTAGTTCGCTTTCCTGAAAGTATGGTATTCAAAAGTGTGTCAATACGTCGAGATTAAGAAAATCCTAAAATCTAAGATCTTAATATATGATATTGTGTTATTTCTACAATATTAAATATTTCCGTAAAAAAATACAATTTCTGTTCTTTAATTTTTTTTTAAGTTAATGATAGGAACAAAATATATGAAGGAAATTAATTAAAAGGAACTTAGTGTAATGAATATGCTAAAAACAAATGACGAGAACACAGGAGGAAAAAAAATTCTTTTTGTGTAATTACTTTTAGAGTGTTAAATAATATCTACCGTTTTCTAATTATCTAAGCTATTTTCTTCATTCCCTAAAAACGTAGAAATTTTTTTTTCTTCGCTTTTTTTGGATCTGTTTCTGAATGATTATTTTTTTTCTTCGTCTTTTAATTAACAATGGACACGAATGGCACACGCGAAGTGTTAAGGAATGAAGGTATAAATATATATTCGAAGGGGATAAAAGTTCTGTTAATTGATTTAAACTAAAATTGTTAAAGTGAAAAATTGAACTTTGATTTCAATTTATTAAATTTGAACTGTGCTTTAGAAAACCATCTGGGGACTCAGCTATAAATCCACGGTTAACCATGGTCCAAATATTCGAAATCTTCTGAAAATATTTTTTAGCATATTACAGTAATACTGTTAAAAATAGTGAGTTGTAGTTATGTATATATGTATGGGGATAAAATGTATTTTCCAAGAGATTTTATAGCTATTCATGATCAATTAACTTATAAACTAACTTTGAAATTGTTTATTTTTCATTTTAATGATCTATCATTGGTTACTTAATAGAATAACTAGGTAAAGCATGAATTTTTCATCTAATATATTCAACTGGCTTGTCTAATTATTTCATGAAATATCTAGTTGTTATATGATATAACTGAGATCTCATTAACGGAACATCACATCCTTTTATCTCGGAATTTTTTTTATTATTGCTATTATCATTTTTTTCTTTTTCTACTATTATTTTTTTCTTATATATATATCGGGCAATGCCACTTAAATAGACCTACTATGTATTTCGGTCATTTATCAAAGCGCCTATGTGATTGTTGACATTCTATTGACTATGTGAACACTCACCAGTGGAGGTCAACAACCACAAATTTTGATCATTAACAGGGTATATATATATATAAAAGTACAAAATGTAGCGAAAACATGGAAAAATTACAAAATAACAAAAACAAAAATCAAAAAAAAAAAAAACCCGGAAAAAAATCCAAAAAAAAAAAGGAAAAAATAATTTATTATTTTTTTTCTTCCCTTTTTTCATTGTTCCGTAATTTTTTCCATGTTTTCTCTACATTTTGAACTTATTTCATGAGTTCTATTTATTTATTGTGCTATATATATAATCAGATAAAAAAAAATTCTAACATAATTGCTAAAATTTTTATNATATATATATAAACACAAAAAACCTCAATTAATCTTTTTAATTTAGTTTCTTTGTTCTAAAACTTCATTTTAATTAACTATTCGAATCTAAATACTTTCTCACACTTTTAAAAGCCACATCCTGTTCTTAAATCTGTTTTTGGCACAAGTATGCATTTAATTAAAAGCAGGACATTTTTCCCTTTCCTCTGTGTGGGAAACGCTCGATCTATTTCATAAACCAATAGCAACTACTAAGATTTCCCTCTTTCCCTAAATTAAGACATTTTACGGATTTTACTTTGCAAGATTTTCCCTATCATATAACCAAGGAGCGCAACTTTTCGTGTTCACTTTTCACACTTTCATGACTGCTTCTATCTAATAATTAATAAATAAATTTTGTACCCTCCTTCCCGGCCTAGGACCTGTTTTAATCCTTCACTCGGCAACGACGTTATATATTGTATATATCACGTCATGTTCTTTATTGAACCTCGTTGAACCATTGTTATGCAACCACGTCATGTTCTTTATTGGATTTATCAGACAGTGCGAATATAAAATAGTTAAATGTGTCCAATAAACTATTTCTTTGCTCAAATAAAACTATGAGTTAGAAATGATCACATATGATATTTTTAATAATATGTGAATAGCTGATAGTAAAATTTTAAAAAATGACGAATGCTTCACCCATCAGAAAATTCCATTACGTTTTTTCGCTCATCCCTATTTATGAATGAATTAATATTTAAAAAAACTGTATTAACATTAAGTGTCATCGCCTAAAAGTTTAAAAAAAATGCATTTGAACTTGAGTGGAGGAATGAGAAATATTTAGTACAAATAAAATAGTGCAAATTCAGAGAAAATGTGTCAGAGAAATGCGTCTGCACTAATTATTTAGAATATTTAAGGTCACTTCTTCGAACCAATAAGATTGACTCCAGGACGTAAAAATCCAATCATTAGATCACAGGTTATTCAGAGTCTGTTTTTTTCTCGCACTTCACAAAAACTGGACATGAGGGTGGAAATTTTAACTTCCTTAAATATACTTGACATTTTGAATTTTAATTGTACGAAACTATTCCTTATTTAGATGAAAAAGAAGGAATATTTTGCTTATTTCAATTTATAAAGTGGCACAGTGTGAAAAGACTGCTATAAAAAACCTTTATGTTTCGTTTACATAATTTTGCAAATCTTTTAATTCATATATATATATATATATGTATTCTAGAATTATTAACTGTCAACTTCTTTAAATTATCCAGTATAATATTACTTAGAGCGCATTCATTTTCGGGCCCATCCTTGGTAACTAACAAATCAAACGTACTTCAATACTGCAGTAAGAGCGCACTATAAAACAAAACTCCTGTATTTACGTTTTTATCTCAATTTGCGCTTCTCTTTTCATATTTTGTAATCTGGAAATCTTGTTACGTTCTCTTATTTTCCGGATTTTTATTAATTTTTTTTTCCTTTTTTCTCGAATATTTTTTTTCTTTCCGAATTTTTTTATTATTATTATTTTTCTTTTTCTCTATTTTCATTGTTCTGTAATTTTTTGCATGTTTTCTCCACATTTTGAAAATACATACACACACACACACACACACACATAAACTGCTGTTTGTAGAAAATGCAACACCATGAAAGAATCATCAGAATCAAATGAAATTTAATGCAGAAACGACTTGTACTGATACAAATAAATGATGAAATTTTCAAAACAAAAGAAACAAATTAAGCGTCCGAAATCAGTATTTGGTGCAGCCACCACGCGCTGCAATAAGTGCTGCTATACGACGTGGCATGGAGTCAAACAGATGTTGAATATCTGCTTGAGGAAGAGAATTCCATATCGCTTGTATGCGCAACCAAAGTTCGTCTTTGGAAACTGCAGGACGCGGATCACGAGTGAGACGCCGACCAACCATATCCCA